TGAGTCAACAAAAATTTGATGAGACTTATGTACCAAGTATTCTATCAAGTCTATCATATGGTACAGCTACTGAAGACATTTTCACACCAACAAAATCTTTTTAAATATATTCTTACAAAATCAAGTGAGAACCTTGAGGCCAATAAATCTCTGAATACACAAAATTCTACTTGGTAAGACCCCTCCCTCCCTCAATTCACATCCCAAATCTATCATTTCCTTCATCATCATTCACACGTTATCTCCTCAGGTAAGTCACGGTAAGGCCTGGTTACTTCCATCAACCTCAAATGCCTCTCTTTACTGCCACTTCATCCCATACTCGCAGCTCCTCCTACCATCCCCTTCCTTCCTCATGAGCGTTACCAACAACTTCCTATATATGTCCTCCATCCATTAATAAACATTCCTCCTATTTCTCTGGCTGCAATAAAGTCTCCACCCCCCTCCCCACCCCCCAGTACCATTTCCTTATAAATTCTCTCTAAAAGAAGATGCTACTCTTCCTACTTTTCTACCTTCATGAAAAAAGGATACTATTTGCACACCACTCTTAACTAATGCTTAACCTTTCCTCTTCTGAAAAACTAGCCGTCAAAAGAACACTCTCCCTACCTTGGGCACCACCTGCTACTGTCCTCCCTAGACAGTGGTGCACTTTTCTGGATAACTTAACCGCCTCGTGAGTCCCCTCTCCACTGCATTCCATGCTTTCATGCTGAATGTTCGCGATAATTTTTCTAAGACTCCGGCCTCAATTTCAACGGCCACATCATGTTCTCTATTCCAGTACTGTTTTCACTCAGAACAATAATTTGTTCAAGATCCTGAACTTCTGAAATTCCTCTTATAATCACGTTTTTTTTTTTGGATTTCACTTCTCTCAGTTCCTCATTCCTGCTGAACCTGCTCTTGGCTCCCTGAATACTTTCAGTTCCTTCATCATTTCTCTCCCCGAGTCCATCGGTCCCTTCTTACCTTCCCTTACCTCCTTCCTCAAACCCAAACCCAAGTAAGCCATTCCAACAGTGCCCTGCTTGCAGCCACGACTTCCTCACCTAGATCTAGCCCATCCTGTCAACTCTACTCAGGATGACTTGCATGACCCTTTCCTGCTTCTCCTATCCAACTATCAAACTGTGGAAAAAGTCATAAGATGAAGTCGAAAGATCCCTCAATCATGCATTGGTATTTCTGATTAGTCTCCACCATAGTCTTCAGCTATAACACAAAGGACAATGACATAATACTGTCAGATTACCTGGTGAAGTCAACTAGTGTTTACAGCACACACTGCTCCTTCCCGTTCCACACTTCAAAGCTGTCGCCTGCTTGATGATAAAAAAAAAAAAAAAAAAACCACTTTAGTAAATTCTTTACTTACACTACAAAGTAAGAAAAACAAATACTATATTTACGACCTAAAATATATTCAAAAAATCAACAGTAAAGAAAAAAAAATCCAATTTAACAATATTGGAAACTCAAGTTACCTTAATCCTTTTGAAAAACAATGTAATGTTCATAAATGTTTACCCCCCTCCCAAACTTGTAACATCCCACCAAACAGCAAAGTGACATCTTAATACCTACTCTGGGATATAATAAAAAGTTTTACCCTAATTATCATTTAAAGATCCATGCCAAAGCTTATTCTTCTGATCGGTCCAGTCGTTAACTTCCTGCCACTCAGACTATTCAAGGACTTTGCACATCCGATGATGAAAAAGAGAGTGTTTGTTTATTTAAAATACTAGCCACTCCATAATAAAATAACTTTATCACTACATAAACACAGGGTTACCTTCACGTCAAAGATTCATGATTACCACGGTTTCCAGCGACCCTCATTGGCAAGATGTTAGGGAAGGAAAGGAGCAGGTGCACCCAGGCTCTGGAACACCCACTCCAGTAACTAGAGACTACCAGAAGGCGGAGTCTGGAAAGCGGTTATGGGGCGGGGGTGGTAGGGGCGCCCAGAAAGCCCGCTTCTTCCAGCGCCAAAAAAAGGCCGGTCACCCGTACGACATACCACACGGATCTCAAACC